CTTCCCCCAGCGCTGGCTCCCTCCCCCTCCTCCCTCTCCTCCCCCGCCCCCTGTGCTCCGCCATCCGCCCCTTGCTCCTCCCCCGCCCCCATAACTATTGCGCCGGCTGCAGTGTGCGTCCCCAACGCGTCCCCGTCAGCAGCGCGCCGAGCCATTCCCACGCCCCTCCCTCTCCCCCTCCTCCCCCGCACCCCGCCCAGAGATCCCCTTGGCCGCCCCACCCGCCCATGAGCGGGAAAGGAGCGCGGGGCGGAGAGGAAGGGGGGATGGTGCTGATCATGGGCTGGATGGTGGGATGGGGGAAGCGGAGGGGGGAGAGAGTCGGGGGCGGAGAGGTCGGCGCGGGGATGGTGTTGGGGGGTTGCACTACTCTGCCCCACTGCGAGCTCGTGGTGCGAAATCTCCGTCAGGAGAAAATCCAGAAACTCTTGACGCGCGTGCACACCTGTCCTCGTCTCATTGGCTGCCGGAGCAAGCACTCCGTTAACAGCCCCACGGGGATTCGATTGACTCGAGCGGCCGTCCCGCCCACTCTTCGCGTCATCCAGCCCGAACCCTAGTTCCGCCTTCACGCCTCTCCCTATCCGCCCTTCCCCTCGTGCCTGCCCTCTGGCCAATAGCGACCTGCCACGTGGCTGCCCAGTTCCTATCACTCCCACCTCCCCGCTCCGCCAGAGAAGAGGCGGCGACGGCAGGGGGGGCTCGTCCGCGCCGCCTTCCTCCGCCAACCCTAATCCTTCCCCCAATGGCCATTCCGCCATGTCCGCCTCCCCCGCAGCCCCCAGCGCCCCGGGCGGCAGGGGCAGGGCGAGCGCGTCGGGCGCATGGCGGAGCATCCACGCCTGGAGCTCCTCCAGCTCGCGCTCCGATATGGGCACGGCGTCAAGAAAGTCAACGGAGTCAACGGAGTCAACGGGGTCAACCGGGTCCACCCTGCACAGCCTGTACACAACCTGCTCGCCGTCGCCCTCGCCCCATTCGCCCTCCAACGCAACCACGTGCGTGCCATCCTGCACGTGTCTGCTCGCCTCAGCAATTTCCCCCTGCTGATTCTGACCACCTGTGCTCGACAGCCCCTGCTCCTGCTTCACTCTCCCCTCCTCTTCCATTTCTTCCTGCACCTGCTTCTGCCTACTGTTATCTCCCGCCTCCTCCCGCTCCTCCCCTTCCTTCCCCTCTTCCCCTTCCCCCACCACCCACTCCTGCTCCTCCTCCTTTATTTCCATGCTCCTCGCTTCCCCACCGTCACCGCAACCACTCTCCGCTAAATTCACCCCCTCTAACATCACGTCCCCTGCTACAGCCGGCGCCATCTCCCCAAACCAATCCTCGCGCTGCCTCAAACCTTCGCCCGCGGGCTCCTGGCCTCGCTGCTCCCGCGGCTGCCTAAGCACCGCCGCGCACCCCTCTCCGCCGCTCCCCACCGCTCTCTCTTCAGACAACCTCGCGCCTCGGTCTCTTGACATCTTCTTCCTGATTGGCTGGCGCTGGTGCTGATTCTGCAGCGTCTGCGGCGGCAGGAGCGGTTGCTGATTGGCTCCAGACGCTACCGGAAGGGCCATTTCCATGACGCGTGGCCTGTCCCCGTCGCTGCACCGCTGACATCAGCACACATGCCCTGACCCTGACATCACTGCCTCGCCTCAGCTTCTTTCTCCCTGAAGTCACAGAGCTATGCTACGCCAAGGTGAGCGGCTGGCTACTGGGAAGCGGTAAGTACGAAAGCGTGAGATGACAACCACGGGGTCGAGAGCCTGTTTGACCAGCTAGTCTGGATGTCGCAGCGACGCGTGGCGGCGGCTGGCGAGGAAATTGAAAGGGGCAAGTGCAACACGCGTGTGGCAGGAACGGGAAAGACCAACGATTGCGGAAAGCTGACCGAGCTGACGACCCGCGTATGGCGGTTGACGAGAAACAGACTATTGGGACGAGGATTACGCGGTCGGAGGGAAGGCAAGGCACAGTCGACGGCTAGTTAGGGTTAGGTGGAATCTTGAGAAGCCGATAACAAACGCAGAGAGTCATGCACAGCAGAAAATACCTAAGTGTCGAAATACCTCACGATATCGGAGTATATGACGTGTACCAGGGATAACGGAGACGCAATCTGCGCGGATGACGGCAAGCAGGAACCTAGTAGGTACAGCAGGAAGGCTAGATGGTCGTGCTTGCTTCGTCCCGTCAGCAAGGTGCACTTACTCGAGTCGACGTCGAAGCGTAAGTTGCGAGCTCGAGCGTGCACGCCTGGGTAATCCTAAGCTGGAACAAGGACGCTTTCTAAGACTAGGTCGAATTTCAGAGCAACGACAATAAACAGTGCCACGTTGCGACCCGAAAGTTGCCAGTCTGAAATATTGGCGATGATACGAATGAAGCATTGTCTCGTAGCGCACGAGGAGCATTTACAAGGCCTAAATTATTTCGAGAACTCCTTTCCCTGGTTCAGCGACCTTGTGTTGTGCGTTGTTGGCGTGGCCAATGACTGGCTCAGCGCGGCTTGCGCCTGAGAGCTTACCACACGCTACCTATTTGTCTCGGCGTGGCGGGAAGCAGAAATGGGAACTCGAGAGAAGGGAGAGTGCCCTGATGCCTCGGGATTGCCGCAGTCCCGTCAGCGGCACCAAATCGCCTCGCTCCCTCCACACTCGAAAAGTGGAGCCCAGGGAGACACTCTCCCGTCACTTGGGCTTGGGCCAGCGGAGGCCGACGCAAGTCCAGCAGCATCCTTGTCTGACTTTGTTGCGAATCGCATGCAGCGGGGCAGCTGCTTGGGTCAGGTTTGGTCAGTTCAAACTTCGAACCCAAAAACAGCGAGGAAGAAACAGGTGCAGTTTCATACGTGCTGCCCGAATGCTTGCGCAATTTTTGGGGGAGTTTAGCTTCGGAAACACCAACCTCCTAGTTGTCACATTACGTGGCTGCATAAGACTGGTGATTGCCTTTATGCCAAATCCGAAACAGCGGCGGGATTCCACGTCGACTTTGCCGAAGCTGAGTACATTGCAGCAAATCCACTGCCAGCTCCGGCTTCAGGCGACAAAACTACTCTGGCTCAAATCATGACCACAGGAAAACCTTTCCGGCGGTACCTCAAAACTTGGGGAAAATCTTATCGATTAGCTCCAGGTTCTGGTCAACACCCATTCGAGTTCACAACCTGTCCATAGTGGGTCCTATATTAGAAAAGTAGGGGTTTGTTTCGGATGCACAGATTTGTTCAGGCATTCCACAACTGAAAAACAATAACCATCGCATATCACCGAACCTCGCACTCATCAGCTTTGGCCCCATAGCCACGTTACAGATGATTGTGGGGACGAATCAAGGGTCGGCAAGGTCCAGTGCGTGACTGGGGTGAGGTCTCTGAACCAAAAGCAGCTCACGAACTCCATCTTGTACCCCTTTCGGGGTCCTCTCAACAGCTTGCGTTCAGGAGCTGGACGTACGGTACACTGCATTTCTAAGCCATTGAGAAATGAGTCTACTTTACACCGGTATAAGAAACACAGGCACCAACACCAGGTTAAGCACCAAGAAACTGTTCACAGCCACGTCATTTCATCACTTAGTGATTGTGAAGTAATGATCCCAAAATTGGAATAATCTACTATTTACAATCGTCACAAATGCCTAAGAAAAAAACACAAAACTCTTCTATGGTAGCAAAATGATGTCACCTGCAATGAACGCCACACCAATAAATTCATCGTCAAAGGAGCCAGAGGTATAAAAAGGCACAGGAAGAGGGGAACAGGCGGGGCAAGTGATCCGATGATACTTCACCTGTATGAATCAAGTTTGCATCTTGAATGTTGTTGATCTGCATAATCGCATCCACTGTTGTTCCATGCATACGCGCTATGGCATACAGAGTGTCACCCTGCACGTGCACAGTTCCATATTCACAGCCGTAGGGTCACCATGTAATGTGAGAGACAGTTTCTGACACCATAGCTGAACTACGGCTGTGAACATCAAAGCCAAGGTATGCAGAATACAGTGTGTGAAAAGCACATACCACTTGCATTGCTCATGCGCGTGCAGAGCAAACCTTTTCAAGGGTGTATGTGCGCGGAACACACCTTTGCGATGGTGTATGTGCGTGGAACCCAGAGGCTCTGGCCGGGGTGCAAGAGGTCTGAGCGGAGTGCATTGGCCTGCCAGCACTCCATGGGAGCAATAACGGTGAGCACACTCATGGGAGCACACTCATGGGAGCAATACATCTGACAAAAAAAAACAAGCATCGGACATGGTGAAGTGGCAAAAAGCAGAGATTCCGCGTTGCAAGCACTCCGTCTTCTCTACACCAATGGACCAGCACGTCGTCACCTGCATGAGGATTTCCACAGTGCTTCCCAGCTGGCCGGCAATCTTTGTCAGGTTGTCGCCAGGCTGCACGTCGTAGTAGGACCTCCCCCCCTCATGGCGTAGAGGCAGGGCTGTGGCGGATCAATGGAAGGTGCGTGCGGAAGGTAAAAGTGCAGTGAGGAGCGGTGGGATGACTGGCAAGGGGAGGATCCTGGAACCAACTGTGGTTACTAGGAGCGCTTGCAAGACAACGCCAAAGGTGGTATGGACGCTGGTAAGGGAAGGGGAGAATAAGGAGGGGAGGGAAATGACAGCAGCAAATGACGACGGAGTCGCTCGTGAGGCATGATGATGGTATTCCCGAGGTTGATACCCCTGACTGTATATATGGCTCGCGTTTTCGCACCTCTCCTCTCCTTCCCACACCCCTCCCTCCGCCCACCTTGCAGCCTCTCGGGATTGCCGAACGGCCACATGTCGCTGCGCAGCTGCTGCTCCCCGCCCCTCGACTCTCTCCTACGCCTTACTAAGACCAATACACTAGGAGCCTCTGCTGTTATTGATTGACCTTGTGAACTTGATGCTAGGACGGCGAACGGGCTGAGCCTCCAACAGAGGAGGTGAAACAAGGTGTGAAGCGACACGGTGTGCGGTGAAGCGGAAGCCACAGGAATAATTGACTGGACTGATTACGCAGACGAGACCGACGCGACGGATGCGACAGATGCTAAGATGCATCGGGCGGAAAAGAGTCTCTATGCATCAGTGGAGGCCACAGTCAATCTCGCCTGGCGTGCTCGACGGCTGCTAAAACGCGACCAGCAACTTATGTCCCTCTGGTGCTGGAACGGAGAAATAGATAAATGCTGCGGACATGGAAGGGGTGGAGTAGCTCGGTTTGGGAGTAAATTCATGTGTTTCGGAGTGGTGTGAAGTGGCGAGACGCTGGCGAGACCCCTTGTCCAAACCAAACCGTGCTACATTCAAGGAAATCATATTTAATTCCAAATATTGTCAAGCATTCCCAGCTACATTCAAAAACTTTGACCACCAACATGATGTTATAGATTGCATGCAGGAAGTTCAGTGCACCTAATCCACCTTTATCCCTATTTCTTTCATAAACAACCTTCTGTTATGAAAAGTCTTGGTCAAACCATCTCCTTGTTCTCCCACTTCCCTGCTCAGCCCTTCAGCAGCATCCAACCTATACAGCACACATTCAGCATCGTCCCACCCTTCAAACCGCTGCATGCTTTCACACCCGGGTAGCAGTCGAGCCAACAAATTCCTCCCATTCGATTCGTCCTCGTTCCCAATTCCAGCCTCCACATGCCCGCGTTCCACCCCCAACATCAAACCACCTCCTGATTCCAAGCCTATCTCACCTCGGCTTCTTGACGAGCGATGCCCTCCATGCCTCCTTCCCAAGCTTCCTCCCGCATCGACCCCCCTCAGTTCACTCTCTAGAAATTCCACAACGTCACTCCCAATGCTGGTGATAAACAACCCCTCCAAGCTACAAGGCCAGAGCACACTGGAGCGAAGCACCGACAGAGATACAGGGGGGCAGTCCACAGCGTGGAAACAACGCAGGCTGTGCCAAGCACTCAGGTCCACCGAATCCCCAACGTTCCTCCAGTCAAGGGCCTTGACAGTCTCAAGCGCACCCGCCGGGAGGAATGACGCCTGCTCTGCATCCATGTCGGTGCGGAGGGAGTGAAGCGAGGTGAGGTGAGGCGCGTGAAACGCCCAGGGACAGGTCGGGTCGGTGCTAAGGAAGAGAGATGTCAGGTGCCCGGGGCAGGTGGGGAGCAGGAGCAGGCGGGAATCGCGGGACTGCCATTCAAAACCGAGGTCGGAGAGACGAGGTGCGGAAAGCGAGATAGAGCAGTTGAGCCCGTTGAGTCTGACGTCAGTGGCTGCCGGGAGGTCAAGTGAGAAGGACGTTCGTCCGTCCACGTCCCTCTCTCGCGCGTTCTCGCCGCTTACAGCGCCCTCTTCGACCTCCTGTGCCGCGAACTGATCGTCAGCCGCGAGATGAAGAGAGTGAAGCTGTGAGGAGAGGCAGGCGACGAAGCGGAGGACGAGAGGAGAGCACGCGGAGAGGGAGAGACTGAGGCGGCGCAACACGGGAAACAGCCTGGCTGTGTCATCCGGGTTCTTCTCCTCCATGATTGAAACCATTTCCCACATTTCCGCCACCATCACGGGATCATTGCACTGGTGAATTGGAGCCGCGCTCTCGCTGTCCGCCACATCGCAATGCTGAATAAAAAGCGACTCGAGGCGCGGCGCTTGCGAGAGGGAGAAGAGGAGGCGCGGATGGGAGGGGAGGCTTCGGGGAAAGTAGAGATCGAGAGAGGTGATGGAGGAGATGGAAGGGAACAGGCAGGAGCGCATGAAGGAGGAAACGAGGCGGGGAGGCGCTTCAACGAGAGAGAAGTTGAACTGCGAAGGGCTTTGGTGCTGCTTGGTCAGCCATGCGAAGCTGCGGATTCGCTGAGCGAGGGAGACGGCGGAGGGGGGACACTGACAATCTTCTTCGAAGTAAAGAGGTTCGTTGCTCGCCGATAGTGCGCGTCGCACGCACGGCAAGGCGATGGCGCACGGCACGAGCGGCCACGAGCAGTAGCACTCTTCTCTCTCCGCCGCTGCATTTGCGATGCGCACCCACACGTCGGCGGGTACGGCGCTCAGGTCCGCGGAACTAATCTCCGCCACGGGCGGAGGGGTGATGAAGGACGGCTCCTCCTCCACTCGTTCCTCCTCCTCCCCTTGCTCAGCCTCCACTCCCACCCCTCCTACTTCCTCCTCCTCCTGCTCACATAACCTATTTTTCCTCGACGCCATCCTGCTAATGCTCTTCTCTAGCGATCGGTATCCTCGCCACCAGCCGCGTCACAGCAACAATGCGTCTCGCCAATAGCTACAACGGCTAATATGGGGTCAAATAGTTGTTCCTTTCTGAGCTGGAAAGGATCCCCGTCAGATACGTGCGACGAATGCTTGAAGCGAAAGGAGCGACGGATAAGTGTGCCAATCCGCTGAGGCAGATTGAGTGCGACTCCCTGCGACTCTGAATGTGCGATTGGCAATTGCCCTACACTGCTCACAGCAGGCAACAGTGGTTCGAAGTGTTCATCAACATGTTACCGGTACAAAAGCATTGTTTCCATTAAAGTTACGGTATGTGTAGGTGCTCTGCTCTCTCAACCTACCGTTTGTGCTCCATAAAACATCACAAGCACAAATGCTGAAACAGTAGCATTCTCATTTACAGTATATATTTCATTTACAGCACGCTCAAACAGGACAAAACAAAGTTGCATTCAGTGGTCTAGCGCACCTAATCCACGATTCCTCTTTCTTTTAAAAACCTACTTTTGCTCCAACACAGGCCTGCACTTCCACCCACTTCCCTACTCAACCCTTCAACAGCATCCAGCCTGTACAGCACAGCTCACCATCGTCCCACCCCTCAAACCGCTGCAAGGCCTTGCATTTAGGTAGCAGTCGAGCCAATAGATTCCTACCTTCACCCTGAACCATATCCCTTCTTCTGTCGTCCTCAGGCCTGCCTTCCCCTGCCGACCTCGAACAACCTCTTGTTCCCATGCCTATCCCATCCCGGCTTCTCGACGTGCCCTCCCCTGCATACCTCCTTGCCAAACTTTCACCCCCACTATTCTTTCTCAGCTCATTCGTAAAAATTTCCACGACATCACTCTCAATGCTATCGAAAAAAAATCCCTCCACGCCACACGGCCAGAGCACACCCGAGCGGAGCAGTAACAGAGGCGCAGGGTCCGGCAACACGGCATGGAAGCAACGCAGGCCGTGCCAAGCACGCAGGTCCAACGGGAAAACCACAAGTTCCCTCCACTCAAGGGCCTTTACTGTCGCCAGTACACCGGGAGGGAAAGAAGCAGCCTGCTCTGGCTGCATGTTGGTGCAGAGGGATTCAAGCGAGGTGAGGTGAGGCGCGTGCAGCGGCCACTGGGAGGGCCGGTCGCTGCGAAGGAAGAGGGATGTCAGGTGCGCGGGGCAGGTGGGGAGCAGGTGCAGGCGGGAGCGGCGGGACTTCCAGAGGAATCTGAGAGTGGAGAGACGAGGGGCGGAGAGGGAAATGGAGCACTTGATCCCATGGAATCTGACATTAGTGGCTAGCGGGAGGTGAAGAGAGTACGAATCTCGTACATCCATGTCCCCCTCATGCCCCCTCCGCCCTTCCGCGTTGTCACCGCTTTCAGCACCCTCTCTGCCCTCCTGGGCCGCGAAATGATCTGCAGCGCCGAGTGAGAGATTTTGAAGCTGGGCAGAGAGGCAGGAGACGAAGCGCAGGACGAGAGGCGAGCAGGCGGGGAGGTCGAGATCGAGGCGGCGCAGCACGGGAAATGGCCTGTCCGTGTCACCCGGTTTCTTCTCCTCTATGACTGAAATAATCTCCCACATTTCGGCCACCAGCACTGCGTCGTTGCAATGGAGCCGTGGAATGTCGCGGTCGCTGTCCGAAGCAATGCCATGCGTAATGAGAAGCGACTCGAGACGCGGCGCTTGCGAGAGGGATAAGAGAAGGCGTGGATTAGAGTGGAGGCTTCGGGAGAGGTAGAGATCGAGGGAGGTGATGGAGGAGAGGGAGGGGAACAGGCAGGTGCGCAGGAGGGAGGAAAAAAGGCGAGGAGGCGCTTCAGTGAGAGTGTAAATAAATCGGGAGGGGCTTGGGTGCTGGTTGCACAGCCATGCGAAGCTGCGGATTCGTTGAGGTAGGGAGACGGCGGAGGGCGGGCACCGGCATTCTTCATAGAACACGAGAGACGTGTCGTAGCCTGATAGCGCGCGTCGCACGCACGGCATGGCGATGGCGCACGACACGAGCGGCCACGAGCAGCAGCACTCTCCTCTCTTCAACACCAAATTTACGATGCGCACCCACACGTCGGCGGGCACGGCGTTCAGGTCCGCGTAACGAGCCCCCGCCACGGGCTGCCTGTCGAGAACTCGGCGCGCCTCTACCGCGCGCACTCCGCTTTTCGATTCGTTTGCTCGCGGAGGGGTGACGAAGGACGGCTCATTCTGTACTCGTTCCCCCTCCTCCCCTTGCTCAGCCTCCACTTCAGCCTCCACTCCCACCCCTCCTACCTCCTCCTCCAGCTCACATAACCTAGTCCTCCTCCTCAACTTCATCCTGCTCTGTGCTTTTCTCCAGCAAGCGGTATCCTTGCCACCAGCCGCGTCACACCAGCGAGGTATATTCCCAGTAGTTACTATCGAGAGAAAAAAAAGGATCAACTTTCCCAGTTTCGGCTTCCAGTGCTGGAAAGAACCTCCGTCGCGTGCAACTGGCTGCTTGAAGCAGAAGGACAGATGTGCACGCAAAAAAAATATCATCGTCACACTCGAAGTGTGCCCAATTCACGGATAATTTCGCGCCAAGGCGGAGTGTCAGGGTCAGATCCGATGGATGCCGAGCCGATGCCCTCTGGCTGACACGATTCCCGTGCGACGCTGTCAAAGGAATTGGAAAGCTTTTGTCGGGGACACAGGTCGTGATGCAGATATGCAGTGCATCAGGTAACAAGCTCGATTACGTCCATAGGGAAAATGTTGGAATGTGGCGATGAATTTGGTACCATTCGATTCGCCAAGGTGAGGTGTTGGGCACGAAAATGTCTAGCTGCGATGTTCACGAACTACTTTATCGCGCAGACTGATGTGCCCGTGCGATGGGTAAAGTTGTCCGAGAAACTGTACGCGTTTCACAGCCCAGTGATTTTGGTACAATGATTTTGAACATCAGTTTTGAAGATTTATGAGGTTCTGGAACATCAATAATTACAGTTACAACTGCCGTTGTATTGTACACTTTTAGTGCTACTTTCATTAATGATTCTACGTTCACATGGTTTGAGGAACCTCTATATCTCAGTTCTCTTAATCCATTATCCCTCTAGCCTTCAAAAACTCTCTTCTATTGTGGAAAGTCTTTGTCGACACCCATTCTGCACTAAAACAATGTCAAGGCAGCCATGGCCATGGCGGAGAGCTTTAACTCAGTCAGTGTGCATCAATTTCCAGCCTGATCTTGACATTGAGACACTCGTACGACGCGCGGCTTTAAGCTCTACACAATGGTGTCTTTTTAGTGTTCATTACGGGAACCTAAACACCACTTATGCGAGTTCCAGGCTGTCGTCAGCGTTCCATGCAACTTCAATGCTACCTATTGCACATGGCTATTATCAAGATCTCAAGCTTCCCAGAGTTTATCATCGAGCTTGGCGCTCGGCAATGTCAACATCTCGCGCATTTTTCAAGGATGACATTTCCTATGTTTCAGCACAACTCGAGGCTCTTAACCAACTTGGCCGTTTGGCGTTCCCTAAGGTTATGGCTCCCATCCCTGGCCTGGACCTGCAGCGTTTCAGTTTCAAACATAAAAAGTATAAACAAACGGACTCATCGTCAGTTGTGCTCAGTCCGGCTTGTCTCTCAGCCTTCAACGGGCTGTCAAGCTTTTCTCATCCTCGCACCATGGGGAGAGCTCGCAGCAACAAGACTAGCAAGAAGACAACAGTCACTGACAAAGTAGCCGATATGTCACCCACCCCTACGGTACCTGAGAAGGATGCTGCTGACAAAGGGCGTGCGCCTTCCACCTCCTCGTCGCCAGTGGTGCTTGGCCCTTTCGAGGACTTATTGGACCTACAGAACAAGACTGACCTCAATGGCGAACAAGCTGCTGATGGTGTCGCTGATCCTGCTGACAAGGAAGGTGAAGAAGAGGCCGCTGAAGGAGAGGCTGATGCTGATGCGGACGCGCAGGAGGACGATGGTGCCTCGTCAGATCAGGCTCCAGACGATGACGAGGATGGTTACCTGAGTGACGACTCCGACGAGCACCTGGAACCAGCTTCGCTCGGCAGCATTATCGCTTTGAAAAGATTCTCACTGACCTTGCTGGTGCCGTTTAACAGGAAGCTTGAAGTCAAGCGGACTGCTGTAACTGTGGCTGCCTTGCTGGAAGAATGGAAGGATCAGCTGTCGCCAGATGCGTTGCAGACAACAACTTACCAGGAACTTACAGCGACCTATTTCTCTGGCACACGCTATGGTCGTCTTCAAGTTACCTTCAACCACGTCCGCGATGCAAATTTCGTTTGGAGTCAAGTCATCAGACACGAGTGCGTGAATGGCGACATTGTCGACTTTACCTGGCAGCACCCTGAAGATGCGCGTTTCCTTCGTGAGCGCCTGCTGAACCCGACGGCGAAGGAGGTTGTTGTCAAAGGAGTTCCTGCGGACATTACTGCTGAGCTGATTCGTCACCTGCTGGTGGTGTCGAAGCTGGTTAAGCGCGGTCGGAGTGCTTTCGCCAGCGGTTTCGGCTTTCATCGTACCGTCGATCCGGTGACTGGGCTGGACACCGACCGTATCCGCGGTCTGTTTGTCCCCCACGCTGACGATGAGTACCGCTGGAGGTACTTTGTGGAGGACCCGTCGACTGGCAGGCGCTACATGCTGCACTACCCATCGCTTACCTGCGAGCTATGCAGCGGCCAGCACCTGTCCCGCTACCACGATCATTATGTTACCTCGAGGCAGGAGAACTTCACCAACTGGAACCTGTCGGTCAAAAAGGTTCATGACATGAACGGTATAAGCAGAAAGATCCCCCACCCTCAGCTGTCTAATTCGTTACCTTCGTTGTCCACCCCGCTCCTATCATGCCTCTCGAATCGTACTGACGACTGTCTCTTCACCTCCTCCCGCAGCGGCTTCCCTGAAAGCCACAGCGTCTCTGACGCGCATCTTGAAAGACCCCGCAGTCATACTCACCTCTACAGGAGGTGTGCGGGAGGAGTGGGTATGCGTACAGACTGTATGCGAGAAGGCTCAAGGGAACCGGTTCGAGCAGGCGGCGGCTCATGTCGCTTCTGCCAGGCACAAGGGAGGGCTGAAAAAGGAAGGTGCTGCAACGCGTGTCAGCAAACATTCTCAGAAGATGGCTGCTTTCAAAAAGGAGTTCATGGCCACACCGGCAAAGAAGTGATCAGCGGATGAGACGACACTGTGGATTTTTGGTGCAAGCTGTGTAGTAGGTGCCATGTTTGCCTTCGCTGTAGCTGGTTGCATCGTCGCAATAAAGACCAATCGCCCGTGGATGCTGTGGGGCTCAAGGAAAGTGGTTAATGGATAAACGCAACAGCTTAACTTTTCTCGAGCTCAACATCAACGGGCTCGGTAGCAGTGGGAAACAGGAGAGATGCGGAAAATGGATCAGGAAGGCAGCACATATTGTTGTACTCACTGACACACGAGTCTCACAGGATCATAACTTCTGGACACAAGTCAGGTCGGAAGCTCAAGCGGTGGTTGGCCCGTCACAGAGAGCTGGGGGGGTGGCGTCTTGGGCTTCCTGCCAGGCATGCGGTTCACAGACGTGGTTAGGCACGAATCCGGCCGTCTCATAAGCTTGATGATTGCATGGAGAGATCTGACCTGCAGAGTGGTGGCTGTATACCTACCTGCGCAAGCACCTGCCAGGGGGGTCTTCTTTCGTGATGTACTAACACCCTTCGTGCAGAGCCTAGGTGCCTCTCCATATACCATACTTCTTGGTGATCTGAACATCGTTGCGGACCCGGAGCTGGACAAGTCCTCAAAACTGGGAACGCCGGCGGAGAACCAAAGACTCCTGCAGATTTGCTCGAGGTGGGATCTGCAAGACGCTTTTCGGAGCCTCCACCCGACCAGGAAAGAGTTCACGTTCTTCTCGAGATCTGCAAAAACGAGTACACGGATAGACAGGGCTTTAGTTTCACACTCTCTTCTCAACTGCGTAACGGAGGCGAAGCATAAAATGGTTCCATACGGTTTAACAGATCACTGGTTCGCGGTGTCGGTGTCACTCAAGGCTGCATCGGCGGACGACCATGGCCCAGGGTTGTGGAGGCTTCAGGCACCTCAGGCTGGGGGTGAAGGAGTCAGGAACATTATATCGGCGGTACTGGACTCACAGGCGAAGTGTCCGGACAACGGCCTGGAGAGACTGGTGACGAATCTGCGTGCAAGCATGAGAGCTCATGTAGCAGAGGAGAGAAAGAGAGTTAAGGCGACCATGGTGCACTTGGAGCTGAAGGTGGAAGAGCTTCGATGGAAGGTGATGTCGGACCCTTCGTCGCAGGCTTTGTACGAGGAGCTGATAAAGAATGAAACGGCTCTCAAGCTTTACCAGGGCAGCAACAAGGAGAGGCTGCAAGTTCTGACGGGGATGCTGCAGGAGCTGGCGGGGGAGACTCCGTCAGGGTTTCTGTCAGGCTTGGTCAAGTCCAGAAAGGCGAAAACTGAAATAGCGGAACTTACCTTCAAAGGGCTGTTGAGAAAAGGAGCAAGCGAGGTGCTGCAAGCTGCCTCGGAGCATTTCCGAGAAGCCTACGCGCTGTCGCCGGCGCCCTCCCCTGCGGAGTCATGGCCGATCGAGGAGGGAAAGACGCTGCAGGAGAGCGATCGCATGCAGCTGGACAGCGAATGGTCAGAGCAGGAAGTAAAAGCGGCGCTAAAAGGCTTACCGGCGGGGAAGGCCCCGGGGCAGGACGGCCTGCCAAAAGAACTCTTCGAAAGAAACTGGGAGCTGCTGGGCCGGCAGTGATGAGAGAGGTCAAGAGCTTCGAGTCAGCAGGGGTGCTTTCGGAGTCTTTCACAACGGCGGTCACGATCCTCCTGCACAAAAAAGGAGACAGGGACGACTTGGGAAATTACCGACCGATCACTCTACTGAGCTTCTTCTACAAATTGCTAACGAAGGTGTTGGCGAACAGAATCAAGGTGGTCTTACCGCGTGTGATCTCAGCCAACCAGTCCGGCTTTCTTCCGGGGAGGAGTCTCGCTGACGCTGTCTCTCTGGTAGCAGATGCGATTGATGCTGCGGAGCAGGAGGATGAGGATTGGCTGCTGCTGCTGGTTGATTTTCAGAAAGCTTACGATTCGGTATCACGTGAATACCTCTTCGCGACATTGGGCAACATGGGTTTCCCGGAGAAGTTCACGAGATGGGTAAAGGGTCTCCACGATGGAGCGGCAACCAGGGTACTGTTGAACGGTTGGATTGGGGAGCGAGTAGAGATGGCCAAAGGGGTGCGCCGGGGCTGCCCGCTCGCCCCGTATCTCTTCCTCTGCGCGGTTGAGCCTCTCTGCCAAGAAATTCAACGGAGGAAACTGGGGGTCAGGAAGAGAGGGGTGAAAGGGAGCTTAGACTACATTGGATATGCAGACGACACGACGCTGGTCTTGAAGGGCAAAGAGCAGGTGGCGGTTGCTGAGAAACTGCTGGGGGAGTTCGCGGCAATCTCAGGACTGAAGGTGAACCGGGATAAGACAACATTGATGCCGCTCGGGAAAAATCGAAGGAGGCTGCAGCCGATAGCGTCGTCTTTCAAGTGGGCGGCGAAGAACACATCTGAAAGGCTGCTCGGAATCTGGATCACCTCTGGAGGCTCGCGGGACCTGCATGGGACAAGGCTTTCGAGAAGGTTAGCGCGGTGCTGAGTTGCTGGGAGACTAAGCATCTCAAAACCTCGGCACGGGTGACCATCATAAACAGCTACGCGATGCCGATTTTGCTCTTCCAGGCGCAGATCTACGCCCCACCGTACGAGGTCTGGACCAAAGTGAAGAGGCTCTGTCATAATTTCATCTCCGGTGGGAAAGCGCTCCTTGATCGACACTTCACGCTATGGAGCTATGAACTGTCGTGCAGAGGACGGAAGGAGGGGGGCTTGGGGGTGATTGATCTGAAACACCGGATTGACAGCATGGTGATCCAAGGACTGGGAAAGGCCCTGGTGGAACAGGAGCCACTTCGAAACTGGTTATGGGAGAGGGCGGCGGCTTTCCCCATTGGCCTGGCCACGGTTTACGCGCACCCTTCGGTCCTGAAGTCCTGGCTGGGAGGGGGCACGAGATGGAAGGCCACTATTAAGGCACTGTGGGACTCAAAACTTGTGGATATAGGCGATCCGGCTCACAGATGGGACGCAGAGGAGGAGCAGTTACTTTTCAACCGCAGTATTTTCTTCAGAGGCAGATCACCCCTCGGCAACCAGGCGGGCTCGCTCTGTCTGAAGGGCATCCGACTGGGGGATTTGGTGGTGAAAGGAGGAGACGGCAGCAGAGCTCGTAAGAGCGATGAGGTTCTGGAGAGGGAACTGGGAGGCGTGGAGCAGAGGAAATGGGCCCTGAAGGCGTGGCAGGCGACACCGCAGAGATGGAAGGATATGGTGCTCAACCAGCTGTCGGCGGATGAACTCTTCAGGGAAACGAGTTTGGTCCGCTCTGCGTCTTACCGCCCGGGGGAGTTCTTTTATTATCAGCTGCAATATGTGAGCAACGGCGAACTTTACGGTCGAAGAGTGACGGTGGACAAGAAAGGGAACATAGGCGAAGTGGAATATGCTAGCGTGGTATCGGTGGAATTTCGGCGCGCTTCACCCATGGCAGTCATAGATGGAAGGGCCCGCGGTTTACTCGGCGCTCCAAGAACGCGACTGCTCTATTCTGCAATCTGTGAGAAAGGCGAGCGGGCGGATCTAAAGAAGTTGAGGAAGGCGATGAAACCCTCGCTGGCGCAACCGAAACAGCAGCTGAAGTGGGAGGAGGAATTGGGGAGGAAGATCGGCTGGGGGAAGGCTATCACGGTCCGTGACTCACTGGCAACCCCATGCAAGGCGCGAGAGGTGATACTGAGGGTGCACAGTAACAA